AGCTAAGCTGATGGAGATCAGTCTGTTTTGATGAAGAGGTATGAGGCCTATGTTTTCAGAAACTTAGCAGGTTGGAAGGGATCTGACTTGTCCTTTGCTGCTGTTGTGGGAGGTTTTTTGAAAGTCTGAAAGAGAGCCTCCCTTTGGCACCTGGACATGGTTAGTGTGTTAGGTACTTACAGCAGGGTGGAGGTGCTTTTCCTCACGTCTGCAAAACCCTGTCTCGTGGCATGACCTCAAACTGCAGGTGGAGTCACTTGGACTAAGCTCCCACTGCCACCAACACCAGAGCCAGGACAGCACAACTGTGCTTCTCCTCTTCTGTACCTGGATTTATAGTAAACCTGTCCTGCAGCATCTGGAACAGATGAGTAAGGGAGGGCATCAGGGCAAGTTTCTCATGCACGTAACTCAGGATGACTGTTATTTCTGAACCAAGGTGATGATTTGTTCTGGGCCCTCCCCTCCCACCTCAGCCCCCTTGCATTTAGGCCACATAGTAGTACAGGAGCAATAAGTACCAGCTGCTTGTGGAGGCTGCAGAAGATAAATGAGCAATATGAAGCCATTGCTAGAGGCTGTAACTGAAGTATATTTCATCTTAAAATCCAAACAGAAAAGCCCTTCGCCCTTAGTTTTAACTGCTGCTAGTGCTTTGCTTCCCCCTGTAGTGTGGTGAAGTTGTGCAATACTAGACCAGCCTCCAGGTGCTCCTGAATATCAGGCTCTGGTTTAGGAGGAGAAACGGAACATATTCTGAGTACACTTACAGCAGGCTTCTGTTCTCCAGATAGTACATACATTTACTGCTTGAGACAGGTAAGTAAGTTTAGCACACTCTCAGTTGCTCAAGCTCTGTGGTCATCCTTCCCCCCAGGTCTCCAGTGCTCTGTCTTTCCAGGTGCTTATTTTAATTGATATCTTCTGTTGGGTGTGAGTGTGACACATGGCAGTGTGACACATGGCAGAGTTTGACCTTTCAGGCACGCACTGGGATATAGGTGACCTGTGGGCCATCTGCACCAGTGTTTGTAGTCCAGCTTGGAGATGTATTGTTCCTGCACAGATCTCTGAATTGTAGCAGATGACTTCCTTGAATGTGTTATGATGTTTGTTACCAAATCCATTGGGATGCTAATCATTTCCCCATTCAGTTCTGCTGGACAACAGCAACAGTGTTAGTGCAGGAACAGTTTAACATCACAGGGGTTTGTCAGGTAGGATTAAGACAGCAGCTGGAGAGACTTTTCCACCCCTCTGGCAAAGGGCAGAAGGTGAGGTGGGGGCACCAAACCCAGCTGTACCTCTACAACCAGGGATGAGGGAAAATGCTGAAAGGCAGTGGGAGTGAGGAATGCTGCATGGCAAGCAGCTGGGCTGAAGCAAACAGGAGCAGAGCAGCAGAAGGGGTGGAGTGGGGAGGGTTGATTAATGTGAGGGATCAGTGAGGAACAGAGAGAGCTGATTACAGGAGGCAACGCACAGTGTACCAGTAGAGGCTATCTCAGTGAGATGTTCCCCCATGCCCCAAGGGCTAGCTCTGTGTTTCTTTCTTAAGCCTGTGGATCACTGATCCTGCCCATAAATAAGCCAGGAAGGAAAGTTGCTCAGGGGGAAATTTCATAGAAATGCTGACAAAGGAGGTAGAGACATCAGCTCTGATCCTGTTTCACATCACCCCCACATCTTTGTTCATTCCCCTCCCTGTGGCTGCAGAGTATGTGGAATGGGTTAACAGGAAAAGAGCTCACCAAGTTTACAGGAACTACTCACAAACAGACAGAAGCCACCAGCCTTCCTGGGAAATCCCAAGCATGTGTTGTATGGACCATTTAACTATGGGGTCAACAAGCAGGTTTTTTTCATTCAGTGGTAATATGCATATTGGCCTAGGTTACTGAGCTTGGAATGGTTCCTATGGGAGGTGATTTTGGTTTGCTGGAGGCCAAGGGGAATTAAAACTTGCTAGTTTTAAAAATATATAGGTATGTGCACACTCAGAACAGCTTCATACTGAGGAGATCTCCAAGATGCTTGAGTGTACCTGTCATAGTAATGAACAAGTCAACTACAAGCTTGTTCTGTACCACAGCCAGCCTTCTGCCACGGTGGGGCCTGGCACCATCATCCTCTGCAGAATCCTCTTGGAATTGAGTAAGACTGGAAAGTTGAGTTGAGAAGCATCTGACAGTGCGTCTGCCTCATCCTCCTGACGTGACTTTCCCCGTGGCTCCTCCTTTCTGTTCATCACAGCGTTGTGATATCTAGGTGGCCCATTAAGAAAGGATATAGTGTGACGGTGAAAAAAATGTGTTTCACCAAAGCATTGTTTTCCAAAATGACATCAAACTAAAAATGTGGAAAATGTGGAAAATGTCTTAATATTCCCTGGTTTGCTTTGTCTGTGTGTAATAGTCCATCTGTTGCAAAAAGCAGTAGTTCTAAAAATGGAGATACTCTTTGGTCAGAAAAAGAGGAAAAAATGCTGATGTTTTGTTCTTTGGCTTTATTAGTAAAGATCCAGCTATGTGGTGGTAATTTGTGTGGGGCTTTTCTTTCTTCCCTGTTGTTCTCCTTCCTTCCCTCCAGCACTGTGGTGATCTGACAGCTGAACTGCTTCCCCCTCTCATAGTCCTTCAGGGTGAAACACATGCCAGAAAAGTGGGCAAGTGGGCAAATCACTTTTCTTTAACCTTCACATTTTACTAGCACTGCAAGCCCCTTTCCTGCTGCTTCTCTCCAGGTGGTTTTTAGCATTTGTTGCTTAAGTGCAAAATGTTGCTTTCTTTCTGGCCCCATAGGTCCTATTGAAGAGTTTGCATCTAAAGCTGGACTCAGGATGACTTGGTTTTTAAAACACATGCATGAAATCTCTGTCCAGCTGATTAACATTTGTTTTCCAGCTTTGAGAAAGTTTGATGTGTTCCTCTAGCTAGGTTTTAACAGAAGGAAACTTCAGGCATGCTGCAAGCAAGGGGCAGTATTTCTGTTTCAAAAAAAGTCCCTTGTACCACTCACGGCTGTCTTTGCCACCGAGAGAAACTGCTGCATTTTTGAATTAGGAGCATTAGTTCTGTACAAATTCAGCTGTAGCTAAATAAATGCACTGGGGCTTCTCTAGCACAAAAGATCTGCGCAACATCAAAACAGCATAGGATAGAGAGGTGGGAGGATGTATGTGTGCAGTGTGTCAGGTAATAGCTGAGCAGCAGGCTGCTGCCTGAGCCCTGTCCCATTAGGGTGTTTTATGCAGCAGTCTTTCCTGGTGAAATTGCTCACTTTTCTCCCATTTGTTCTCAATGGTTTCATGTTGATTCACAGGCAGGGCAGCTGTTATTTGTATGCAGGGAGCAGCAGGGACCTGACTTTGAGCCACAGCTTCTCCTTGACATCTGCAACTGGACTGCTGCAAATCCAGCTGCAGCTATTAGATAAGATAGGGCTAGGCAGCAGGAGAGAAATAGAGTGAGACATAGCTAGAGATACATCTATCCCTGCGACTTCTCTCACTGTATAAAGCCAAAATAACACATCTATGGAGGAAGGCAGTTACCTTCATCTACAGGGGTTGAGGTCAGAGGGCTGCTTGTCACTGTTCCCTCTGCTTTCTCTGCTGTCCCCTTCACCTTGCAGCACATTATACCTTGGAACAGTGGCTGCCAGTTGCACCTCTCCTCTTTAATTGCCTTATTATCAGGCAGTTGCTTTGCAGAAACTGTCTTATGCTGGATCTTCTCCTGCATGGTGTCTCAGTAGTCATTTCCCTGCCAAACAGTACAACTGTAAAAGCCCAGAAGGTAGCTCAGGTGGTGATAGGGCATTAGGGGGAAGGACTCCCACAGCCACAGGGCCTACAAAGACATCCTGGGCCATTTCTCTCACCTACTGAATTAGCAGTGTTAGATCTGAAAAATAAAATAGGAAAAAAAAAGCTTCCCAGCTGTTTGTTGTCACAGCAGTGTAAGCTGTCCCAGAGCTCTGAAGGAAAAGACAAAAAAAAAAGCCACCCTCAAAACAAAAGAAGTTTGTCATTACATTATCTTCTCCCAAAGTGATGAAACACAGGCCACATCAGACCTACAGGCAACGTGCACCAGCAGTCCCTCGTAGTGCCTTTTCTTATAAAACAGTGTACTTGGAGATTTCATTGCAGCAGAAGAGGACTGAACCCCTTCTTGTTCTCATTGCTGCCAGGGTCAGGGCAGCAGAGAGAGACCTCAAGTGTTTCCTTACACACCTGCTCACTGCCTCCTCACAGGTGCATCAGACACATTTTGAGGATGCACAACTGAAGAAAGGACCGCAAGGGGTTATTGCTTATGTTCCTGGCCCCTCACTCAGGTACAGTGGCTCCTCTAAAGTATCTCCATTCTGGCCAAGTCTCGTCAAGGCATTTACCACCCCCACCCACCTCCAGCCCCACATCAAACACCTCTGAAAGAACCAGGAAACAGATTGCCGCAAGACATTAAATCACATTCCTGATGTAGATGAGGCAATCTTGAAGGCAGGGAGTCAGCTGCGTATGGGTGCAGTGCCTCTGGGAAGGGGCAGGAGAGTGCCCCACACATCCCCAAATCTCCCAGCCACCAGCACCAACCTTACTCTGCAGTCCGAACACCACCTTGTCTCATCAGGGAGGTACCAAATCTCTGTTGTGTTAGAGAGGACACAGCAGGTGCATCCAGAGAATTGCAGCAGATAAAGCACCAAATCACCACGGGGCAGTTCACATTAGCAAAGCTGCAGCAGCTGGCAGCTCCTAGGGCATCACTACTGCCAAGTAAAATCCTGTTGGAATTGTCGAGGCAACAAGAGGGGAGGCATGTAAACAATCTGCAAGTAATTCATATGGATGCCCACACAGGTGTTGTGTTTTCAAGAAGAGACCAAGCACCAAGCAATTTGCTAGCAGACAAGTCCATGTGTTGTAAGAGGTAGTGTCATCCATCAACACTAGGAAATAAACTACCCAGACTTCAGGAAAACTTCACCTGAAATTGAATTTCAATGTACAAAGGCTTCTATTCAATGCGTCCAGGACAATGCCAGCTGTCATAGATACATTTCATAATATAAAAGGACTTAACAACATCTATCTACTAACATGAGGTCTGTTGTCATTCCTATTGTCAGAAAAAGGTTGGATTGCTTTTAAAAAATCGTCTTGTACATACAACCACACTCAGTGACGTACACAGCTTTACACTTCAAGTGCACACTAATTTAGAAAATATATACAGTTGTGGTGTGCTGATGGAACTAGTATTCATATAGGAAATGTTCTTTTTTGTTACCTTACGTGTCTGTCAAGCCTTGACTGCACACACGGAAGTACTTTGCTTTGTCCCTTATTATGATGCACAGTAAGGGAAAGCCTTAGTTACAATTTCACCCAGGTCAGGTATGCAGGAATGTACTCCTCCAAACCTCGCTCTGCTCCAGATGGCCACTAACAACTCCATCAGCAACTTTTAGGAACCGTGGCCCTTGGAAGTTTTTCTGTTAAGACACTCATATTCACAATAAAAGAGATGCTCTGCAAATTCAGCTTGACACCTAGAAACAAGTTCTCACAAACCACTTGCACTTAACAACGGCACCATAAAGCTTTGGTTCCCTGTGTAACACAGGTCTTCAGATTACTCCAAACCACCCCAGTGACCTCTGTGCCCTGGCTGGCGTGACGCAGGAGCAGTCTGTGTATTGGCAGTGAGTAAGCTTTTACTGGGTGCCCAAAGGTCCACACTGGACTCCTCCTAGCTCTGTTTTTGCAGGTCCTTCAGCAGCAGGAGGCAACTCTTCAGTGTCATGACTCTGAATATGCACAAAGGGAGAAGGTCCCATCAGTACATAGTCATGTTTCAGAGGAGGTTCACATTTTTGCTAAACATAGAGAGCCCTGACAGGTAAAGGGGCTCTGTGTTTACTTGAATGTTTACTCGAGTGACCTGTGGTCACTCAGAGTTGGCCATGAGCACTCACAACAAAACGCATGAAGAGCTGAGCCATTGAAAGTCAAACCATCTGTGCATCAGGTCAAATAACGCTATTAAGCACCTGTCCCAAAAAGTTATTATTTGCCTGAACCTCGAGAGGAGAGCAGATTTACAGAGATGTCACCTGAAGATGACAGCTTCACTTGGTACTCTTTGTGGCAGCAATAAGACTATAATGAAAGCTACTATGTCTCTGGGACTAAACTCCCATCAACATCAAAGGGAGTAAACCTGCAACTATGCTCCTATCTGTTCTTACTGTAAATATTTTCCAATTTAAGGAAGAAAACCTACGTATTTCAGTGTTTCTACCTGTTCTGTCAAGAGGCACAAGTAGCTCAGGTTGTAACACCTCCTGCTCACCACAAACATTTAGATTATCGTATTGTTTCATACAATCTCACTGCTGGCAAAACAAGGTGAGCCAGGATGTGAATCACACAGGCAGCATCCAGGTGATGGACAAGAAACTCAAGTCCCAGTCCTTCACTGTTTGGATGCATCATTTAAAAGTAATGACTCCCTATTTTCTAGGGCACTTGGCAGAGTCCCTGCCGTGGCTCAGACAATGCTTGGTACTCTGGTCACAGCGACTTCTATTGCAGCATCTTTTTGTATAACATCAGAACCAAAGTGTACAAGAAAAAAAATCATAAAAGAAAAATATGGTAGTCACAATTTCTGATAAAAGCATTGCCCTAACATTTCTACCCTCTTTCTCTGTTATTTCCCTTAGATGTGGGGGACCCCACATTTCTGTTGTGGGGTCTTAGGAGGGTGCATGACTCTGGGGCTCCATAAAGAACTGCTATCAGTAACCTGCCACAATGCAGTTAAAACCATGATTAAAGTGAACAATAAATAAAGAGAAAGACATACAGGTATTAAATATAGGTTTCCATTAAAAGCATTACAAAGACAACTTCTCTCATTTTGAAGACAAAGAAAAAATCCACTTCTACTAAAAACAAAAGAAAAAAAATTTAAAAATCACCCCCTTTGCAAATAACTTTAATGAGGAAAGGTGCAGGGAAGGAAGGGAGAGAGGACTTGGAGAACTAGCAAGTGTTCAAAAGGGCAGGTGCCCTCCATCTCGGTCATTTTGCAATTGCACCTTCTTCTCGCACAGTCAGGTTAGAGAGCCAGAGTCCTCACGTGGAGGATTTCACCACCTGCTCGTAGGGGGGAGGTGGTGTGTTGCAGTAGGAAGGTGGGGGTGGGTAAACCGGGTTTCCTTGTGGGGAATTGGGCTGGACGTGGAAAGCCATAGCCATGGGATTCATCACAGGTCCACCTGGATCTGTGTAATACGGCACTCCAGGTTGTTGTGACCCTGAAAGGAAGAAAAGGAGAGAAAAGGTATCAACAACAGCAGCGACATCAGGTTGTGCTCTCCCAGGGCCTGTGCTCTGTGCACCTGGACAGATTCAAGTTTTTTCAAAGTGTTCATCAGAGAAAAGACAGGGAGCTATCTTTCTCCCTTCCAGAGAAAACTCAGCCTTGCAGGACTGCATTCACTTCTTCAGATATCACCAGAAAGTTTCAATTTTGCATCCAATGGAAATCCCTTAGTGAAACAAAGGGCACCACTACTCCAAGCAACTACCATTTGAAAGGGAAAACAGCAATCCCTGTTCAGTTCCCCTGACAGAAAAGCTACTATGTCTGCAGAGAGGAGAGGTGTAGGATCCCAGACGGACAAAGGAGTTTCTACTGTGGCCCTGACTCAGGTGTCAAGTCTTACAAAAGGACTTCATAGATTATTTTGTGGCGTACTGGATCTGCTAATAAGCCAGAGTGCATCTGAAATAGATAATTTCCCTTCTAGGCATGATACAGCTTGGAAGCAGGAGGCCAAGTTGAAGCCAGTTATGGCTGGCTAACACAATGGGACAAGATTGTTTTGCACAGATTAAATATAGGAAATGATGCCTGAGCCTGCAGGGACAAGGAAAGGAAATGTATGATCAAACACAAAATTCCTTGGCTATGACACACGAGGAGTAACAGAGACTGCTGCCATTAGGAACAAAGATGGTGCGTAACCCTCCTCAGATATCACGGTGGGTGGTGAAGATGACCTAATGTAATTGAATTCACAGACTGTCTCTATCTCAAGATGTAAATTAGTTTTCTTCTCCTTCTCCCTGTCTACTTAAATAAAGATGGACTGAGAAAAAAAGATCATGGTCTGACCAACAAGTTTTCTTCTTTTGATGCTAGTCTGTGTTTCCTAAAATGACACAGCCTGTAAGGGATCTTCCCCTCAATAATTCCTTTCCGTGACCTTGGACTCAGTATTGCCACAGAAGGAATACAGGCTTCTTTAAGCATTCCTACAGGAAGGAGTTACATGCCAAACCCCAAAACACATTATTACAATATTAAATCAGAGAGGGAACATGGGCACAAACTGTCCCAGAGCCTGGGGTGTCTGCCAAAGGAGCTGTGTTTGGACATTCAGGAGGAAAGAGGATAGAACACAGATCAAGAATGAAGCTATTTCCTTCTTAGCACAGTAATTTTTAAACACACTAGCACAATATTTTTCCCTTTTGCCTGTATGAGTGAAGAGAGCTGCTCCGCAGCCTCCCTACTTTGCTGCAGTAACAAGAAGCCCCTGCTCTGCATCCATCTATAGCATCAGTTCATGGCTGCAGGAAAGCCAGGCTGGGCTCTTACCTCTCCAAAGGCCAGGAGCTGAGTCTTACCTCTCCAAAGTTTGGGCTATTACCCTCTTCTGTAGCCTTTTTCTTAAGCATTTTTGATTAAATGGACAGTTAAATCCTGCCCAGCTCTGCATTTCTTATTTCCATCTCTATGGGAAACTGGAGAGGCTGAGGTAGCTTTCTGCAGCTTGCTTTTTAGGAGAATAACCATTTGCATTAAAACTTAGGTGTATTATTGAATCTGTGGGGGAGGGAAGTGTGGACACCAATCTTTCAGTTCATTAAATGCAGAAGAAAGTAATATCTGAATATCAACATCCTTGTGGGTTCAGCTGGGAGAGCACTTGGTAAGTGACTATAAAGGGACCTGACCACTGCCAGCACCTGAACTGCCAGTTTGGGGTTACATAGGCCAGGACTGAAGTGAGGGATACCACCAGATCTGCAAACGGCTTCTTGTGGGTGAGGTGTTCAATTTATTTTCCAAATCAGGCCCAGAGAAAAAGCACTTCCAGCAGAAGATGCTGCTTCTGTCATTGCAGAGAAAGAAGGAGACTGGCAATGAATCACATTTTAAAGGGCTCCATCGACCTCAGCAGTAAATTGCTGAGGTAAACTGCTACCAAACCTGGAAGAGTAGCTGGTGGAAAATGGGAACTTGGTTGTCTACTAAGTCCCATTGCTTTTGACTGTTGAATATTCCTAGATAAGTAGAAAAACTAAAAATAAAAAAAAATTAAAAAGAAATTAAAAAAAAAAAAAAGATGGGGTTAGCTCAGAGCTCAAAGCTTTTAAGTAACAGTAACAACAGCCTGGAAGCAGGTGCCATAAGCAGGTCGAAGAGCTTGTGCTTATTTTATATTTGTCCACAATTTGTGTTCCATGAAGGGTCATGAAAAAGTAAAACTGTGCTCTAAATTTAAATCCAGTGTTTACCAGTCCAGCCAAAGACACTCCCTGTTCACATAATCTCAAGGCTATTTTTCAGGCTTAAAAATATCAGTTTAGTTAGATTGGCTCCCCCCACAGATCAAAAATACTCTCTGTTCAGTCAAGGAGAAAAACAGATGCAGAATGTAAGCCCTAAAAAAAACCCTCTTAGGATTTAAAGAAGGAGGGTGAATAAAGTGTCTGTAACACTTTTTTAACCATTTAGACATGAGAGAATGTGAGGGAATGCAGTATGAGTTCATGCTTAGGGATAAAGAAAGAGCATTTCCAAAGTCTACACAAGGATGTGTAATAGCTGGCACTGGAGCAGTGAGAGCCCAAATGCTGCATTTCTGCACAACATTCATAGTCAACGGCAAGCTGGGGGAGGGGAGGGACACTTTTCTAAGGAGGCTGCCTTGATGCAGCCACAGTATTGCAGAGATATAATAGTTCAGAAGAAGATTTTTGATCGAGAAGTTTTAGGCACCGTATTTTCAGAGAGGTCCTTCTTCTCATTACAAAATATTCAGTTTTATTTCCATGACTGTCTGGGAGGAAAAGTGCCAGTGTCCCAAGCATGCCTGCATAGGGATGTGTGTGTACTTTCACTGGCAGACTTTAGCACTGGCTTGTGCAATGTGGAGAGAGGTTAAAAATGTCTCAGTTCAGCCCTGCTGAGGCAGGGAGAAAGAAAGCATCAGAGTGTGTGCTCAGATAAAATCTCAGCACTGTAGAAGGTCTTTCAACTGGAGAGAGCTGCATTTAAAATAAGGCATAAACAGCTTCTGCTTACAGGTGAGTCACATTTTGCAGGATTCTCCCAACTGGAATCATTTAACAGAGGGGAAGAACTTACAAACTTAGAAAGCAGTATTGTCAGAGGAGCCCTCACTAGGTAGATCCTCCTGATGCTCACAGCCAGTACTGACCAGAGACAGCAAGCAGACTAACAATGGGATAAGGACCACTTTGCCAGAGAAAAACTGTAGCACAGAGCATTGAAGGCAAATAAAAAAGACTTGCAAGACAGCCAGATTGTGGAAGAAAACACTAGGCTTTCCTTCGCCTCTGCTGGATGTTATCAGCTGTATTTAAACTCTTTCTTCAAGGTACTGCTGATTCTGGATACCTATCATTCTGTCTACACTGCAAAGGGGGACCTTGTTAGCCTCCTTCCATGCATGGACACAGATGTAAAGGCATTAGCAACCAAAAGAGGAGGGAACTGAAAGTCCTGTGATCTTGGGTTTCAAAACCACTTGTGTACACTGCAGCTGAATAAAGCTGTTTGAAAGGCTGAAGATGTCACTCATTGCAGGAGGTGGCTGTGTGGTTTAATCCAGTGTGATCCCTCGTCGGAATCCCCCTTTTCCAAAGCCCAAACAAACAAAAGCTCAAAGCCCACCCTTTTAAAATACCTCGGCAAATGTAAGAAACTAGTGAAACTTGTATAACGAGCAGTCTCTGACCTGATGCAGTGTTGACTGGTTGTCTGGTGTAAGACACATTAAAAGTAGGTTCTTCTACTAATGGAGGAGGGTACATCCGTCTGCGGATAAAGAAACCAGCTCCACAACAGAACAAAACTCCCATCATCAAAAGGAACCTAGGAGGGGGGAAAAAAAAAAGAGGGAAGTCAAAACCCATCTGCATTCAGGCAGCTCTCAAACCCAGACTGTTCACTGAAAACACTTTACATCAGCCTTTGACTTTTATCAGGGTTTCTTAAATAGGATGTCTCTTGAGAGCAGGTCTGTCATTTCAGGCAGCACTCATGGGGCACTTATGGATGCATTATGGACATCTTTAGTAAAACACAAATCTGAAACAAAAACACCCTTGACCTTTTCAAAAGTTTATGTTCATACCTGACCAACTGCCACCAGGACGCTGAACTGAAATTCCAGATCAGTACAGTTTCAAACTGTGCATCTTGGACACAAGGCCTCAGGTTTATAGCATCTAGGCTGGTCAGGAGGTTCGTGGGAGACAAAGAGGAATACTATTCTGCAGCTGCCATTAAAAGAAGATTCTTAGATGTTCTTAAATTACCCAACAGTGTAATTTTGTCTCGCATGAGAAATATGGTACTCGGCATTTAAGCTCAAACCAGAAGATTGGATCATTCAGCACTGATTCAACAAGCTTTGCTCTGTGCTTCCTAGATGGGTCATTACATTCTGAAGGAAAAAGACATGATTTTGCCTCAGTTCTCCTCCTCTCAGCTGCTTTTTTGACCTAACTAAACTGACCTCATCATTCCCTTGCCCTTGCCCTGTGGAAGCAGGAACATGCAGTGAGGGCACATGAGATTTTGTTCTTTTGACAGTGGCTTTCACTGTGTTTTCTTGAGGAGTTATCAGACATGCCAGTGACTCATGCAAGCTCTTGTAAATACACATGGTTCTTCTGCCTCTAATTGTCTTCTCATTTGGTGGCCCTTTACTGGAAGGCAATGACAATTGTGCTTTTTTGGAAGGGAAGGAAGTTGTCCAGAGGCAAGCCTACACACCAAGCTTATCTCCTCTGGAGAATTCCCGGATGCCTGAGAGGAACAGTATTGCACAGCATGGCAGCAAGAGTAATTTCACGCAAAGGGTCAAACTCTGTTCTTGTTTCTACATTAGAAATGAGAGCAGAAGGAGGTCCTGTTTCCCTGAGCCAATATTAATACATTCCCCTTTGGCAGTACTCCTGCAAAGGATTTGTTCTTAACAGAAAAAACAGAGATTTACGACGTCACCCCAGGGATTGAAACAGAGAGCTCTTCAGTTACATCAGTAAGGATTGTACACTGAAATCCTACAGTCAGCTTTGGGAAATCTCTGTATTAAAGTATATATCAGGCTTTTGGTTTGCAGTGTTTATTTGTTTCAATTTTTAAGGCTTTTATTTTTTTAATCAGACTTAAAATTCTACATAAAAATGCCTGAAATCAGGTTTTCTAGGAGACTATTTGCTTTCTCTCTACTGCAATGAGACAATGAGGAGGTTTTATTCAGGTGCTTTCTTAAATTCCACTCCAAAAGGACTTTACCTTATTTTTTCATTATGCATATAACAGTGATTAGTTTAAGCTTTATCCAGATTACTGAGCTGCTGGTTTCACAAGCTCAAATCTTTCTGCCTTCTTTTCCCTTGCTGTCATCTCCAGTAAAATCCTCATAGTCATAAATGTACTTCCCTTCCTTTTTAATTGAAGCCTCAATTCAGCTGGCAAGAATATATTAAACCCTGCCTAAAAGCACAATCCTCCTCATACAATCCTCCTTTAAAACTGAGTGCCCAACAAAACCAGATGAATGCTGCTGCTTGGTAGTAGCTAGGACAGACATAAAGAATTCAGCAATTTTGAATAAAAATGGGACCACCGCCTGTACAAACCCACAGGATGCAGAAGCAGGAAAGGTCAACCTGACACGAGTAACCTTTTCCAGTGTTTTCTCACTACATCAAGAGAATTTTATAAGCAAAAACCCAAAATCATTGCATTTCTATGTACACATATACTTTACTTCATACTTGTACTACTGTACTTTAAAGTGCCAGGGCTGGCAATACCCTGATTTAAGTCCAACAAACAAGACGAGAACAAACATAAAATTCCCAAATGCCCTGACTTACCAAAAATACCATAGTCGCTGGATAGAGAGAGCTCTTACACAGCATCTTGAACCACAGCAATCCTCATAGGAGCGACATCTGCAGAGAAATAAAGAGACAGGGGCATGAGAGGAGTGGTCGTCACTCAGCTTAAAATGGCATTCCCAACCCTGACCATTCACACCCCTGACCAAAGCATTATTTATGACACTGCCACGAGCCGATGGAGGCAAAGCCTCCCAGAAGTGTTCAAGGCCAGGTTGGATGGGGCTTTCAGCATACTGGTCTAGTGGAAGGTCTCCTGCCACTAGAGGGGCAGGTAGGAGAGTTGGACTAGATGATCTTTAGAGGTCTCTTCCAACTCAAACCATTCTCTGGGCCTATGAATAAGAACAGATTCCCTTTGGCTGGATAAAGCTGTCAATCACATGTGTGGCACAGCTCTCTCACTATTCAGGACATTTTTTACTGTTATTGAGACTACCTTTCTATATACCAAATCTGAAATCACCTCAAAAAGACTGAATACAGTGTTCAGTTCTATATAAAAAAAGACATGTCACAAAGAAAATCAGTATTACTGTGTTTTCTTTCACAGTAAATGAAATGAGAGACCTCAAACAGACATTTGGGGTTTTATTTACTGCAGCAGACAAGAACTGCCAGGAAAAAACTGAAGATCACCCATTCTTTGCAAATCAGCACCTTCCAAGCACAGAAACCACTGAGTGCAAAGAAACACCAAGTGTACCATTATTTGCAAGTTTAACACCCTTTTTTCTTCTCAGAAGTTGCCCTGGACTGCAACTGCCAACAACTCCCATTACTAATGTAGGCTTTCCTCTAAAACCCCCAGCATTTCAAATTAATATTTCTTACGAAATAGAACCGTTTTTAAAGGTATTATGACATCAACAACTGGAAGCACAAGGTACCATTTTACTTAAAGCCAGAACATACATTAACAGCAACCTCTGAACAATTTCTATAGTAATTGCCATTTCCCACACCATAGGGAAAAGGACTAAGGTAACACAGAAACTATGGTGTCAGACTCTGATGAAAATATGCAGATTAGCATATCCACATACCAAAAGAAAAGAGGAAGTGACCACAGCTGCATTGATCTTTGTAAGGGTGTTCACATCTGTTTGCTTAATGCAAGTATTTATTTCAGCATCTGATCTGCTTAAAAAAAAAATCTGCTCAACTGCATGACTGTGCTCTCATATTTGTATGCAAACTAAAAATCTTCAATTGAATAATTGTACAGTCAATTACACATTTACATGCTCAATTAACAAGCCTTCACTCACAAAATGCATTGTCACATAGGCTTCAGCCTCTAACTGGGGCCAGGGGAGGATGCTCTATGGATAGATAATCAGCTGTTTTGCAAGTGAAAACAGTTGCATACTCTTCTGATGACAAATAAGTAGGATTTATTTAAGCAAGCTGGATGCTCTGACATGATCACTATGGCAAGGTTCATTAATAGACTCAGGCATCCTATCTGAGACTCAGGCAAAGGAAGTTGCTCATATCAAAAGAGAAAACACACACTTTGCTGTCACTGAACCTGAAAGCGACCCATCTCTGACTTTCCTTCTTTAAAGCTTGCCAGGATCCTAACAACTGCTCATACTCCAAGCTACCAGATCTCACAAAACTACTAACAAGGCTTAGCAAGTCAGCATCAACTTCAGTCCTATCGGGACCAAGAAATTAAGCATCCCTCCATTCTCCCACAGTGGATCAACCCACCTGGAGATTACAAGACATATTAAATTCATGGACAGATTCAGGTCCCTTAAAAAATGGGCTGGAAGCTGCTGCCTTCTGTTAAACCAGTGGTCTACCATGACCCTTCTGCTCTTCAACATGCTTTTGGTTGGAGCAACTTCAGCCACGTTGATGGGAACCTGCCCCCTTGGCTGATGCTGCACACCAAGGACTTTGTTAGGCCAGAAAAGCAGAGAAGAAACAGAACCCATAAATCTAGAAGCCCTTCTTGAGGGGGAAGGATTTTAAGGGTGTGAGCTGTCTTCACCTCTGCCTCCACACACTGGCTCTGTCAGTTCAGACACCTACACCTGAACATACACAGGATGAGGAGTGGATGCACCATTTCCCAGAGCCCCAAGAGCTTAACTTGTAATAAAATTTAAACTAAAACAGAGAGGGCATGGAAGCTGCACATACACCTCTCCTATGCCCAACCCTTGCATTGCTTATTTTGCATCTGTTTTCTCAAGAACCAGAAGATATTATACATTTTAAAATGTATTATACTTTTTAAAATGTATAATTACGGTCATTTAAACCACCAAAATTAAAGGAGCATCTGTATGAGAAGTATAGTACCTGAATTTACTTTTTATTATTAATCTTTAAATTATCTGGGCTTATGAGATCAGCACCATTTTAAAAGTCTCAAAGGCTTAGCTTTTACTCCTGCAAGAGAGGGCTAAAGTACCAGATGGAAGTCAGAAAGGCTACACTGCTGAATGTCTATGAAGCTCCTGAGACCACTGACTGGCAAACAAACAAGCCATCAAAAAGAAGTTTTGTCTTCCACACAGATGACTGCACTTCCAAATGGTTGAAAACAATGATGTAAAGGACAGAGGAGTCTCTCAATGTTCCTGTATTTAGAAAAGCTCCAATTCCCGATAATCCAATTTCTGAGCCAACTCATCCAAGGTTAAGCACTGTACTTGCTGGGTGGATCTATGAAGGTAAACCTGTATTACCACTCAGAGGCAAATCCCTTTGGGATCTGACACTAGGAACTTCTTCTTCACTTTTCACCCATAAAGCCACACAGGGGCTTTATTTTGTGTGCCTGTGAGAATGGACACATGTAGCCAGGTATAGGAACCCAGAATCAAGGACAATGCCATGATAACCTGCTGTTTGTATTCCCCACCACCTGATCGCAGCACCAAAAAAGCCTGGAAGAACTAACAGTCCATTTGCTGACACTGCCATCAGGCTAAAAGCTCTGTTGATCTCTTGTTCTTGATTTAATGCGCTATGAAAATACAATACAGCTTCTGAGAATATCGATTCAAATTACACAACAATTAACTTACTTACTTACAAAAGCCAGATTTATTAGCAGGCAAAAAACAACAATAAAATCAGTTTATTAATGGAGTAACGTACAAGCTTAAGTATAATCACTGTTTGATGTACTATCTCTTACTGCCTGACAGCAAGTCTCAGCAAAATTAAGATCCTGATTCATTAAAAGAAAACCAAAAAATCAAACCAAACCAAAACAAAAAACGCAAGATTAAGCACACAAATATTATTTGAATTGGTATACCTTTTCTTTAAATTACACTTGTGTTTTGGTTCGGCTTTACAGAGGACTGTTGTGCCCAATGTCAGTTGAAGAACCTCACTATCTACCCAAACTGGCCCGAGCTCATCTCCTACATGAGACTTTTCTAAAGCCAATTTCCCTCTTTCATACATCACGATCCCAAGAACTGCATTTCTCTAGGGTAATGCTTGTTTCATTGATCAAAAGTTAACCCATGACATAGAATAAGACATAATCCATTAGTTGTTCTACTAATCTACAACTTCACCAAGCCTACGGTCTTCTCTTGTGGAAACTCTCTGCAACGTGATATATGATTTAGAAGGTACATCTTTTCATAATTCAGTAGAGTGAAAGGAATGTATCTTCATGTCTAACGACTTGTAGAAGAGCTTAATGCTACAAGCACCCCAGAGAGGTTGTCCCAAAGAACTCATTTTGCTACATGTGCCCACTGAAAATGGAAATCAAAACAGAGTCCAACTCTGCGCTCAGAAGTCCCACCTAAGCAACTATTTCTGAGTCCCAAAATGGTTTAACCTCCTTCCAGAAAGATGTTGCAACACAAAGGCCACATTCTTCCACTAGCATTCACTTAAGCACTTGAGGAGCAGTAAGGCAAGCAAGGCCCTTGACTGGTGGAGCAGAGTGACAGGCAACATCTACTTTCCAGCCTTGGTCTTAGAATTGGTTGTGTCTCCCTGGCATGTACACGGCCTAATTTTCAGCAGAGACAGGACTCCACCACAGTCACCTGCAGTTACAGGTTCTCAGCACCCAAAAGTGTTTCTTCTCTTATACATAGCAAAGGTGATTTCAGCGCATGCAAGAACAGTGCCTTGTAAAATGTAGGTCTGATTCTGGTGAATGGATAAATAGATCATAATAAATATAACTGCTTCAGAGATGAATGCAACTGTGACCTCAGTGGCACATCTGTACTAGAGAGTAAAAACACTGCTGCTGATACCCAGGAGAGCACTAGAGATATAGTTATACAGATACTTGATAAATGATCCAGCCCTTAACTACTTAAGAAAATGTAAGGCAAAAAGGAGGAAAACGTCTGTCAGGTAATTTTTTTTCTAGAGAATAGATGCAACAGAAACAATATTTGTTCAGGTTAGAGTCCTGTCTGCTTTGACACAATTAAAATCTCCAGTGAGGCAAGATACTTGACTCGCATCCTTCACACAGAAGTGAAAAACAAGAGCAGGAAACACCTGGAAAAGGGCTTATTTCTCAATTACTCTTTAGCTGAAGAGCCTATAAACACTGTCCCTGTGTGAGAATTCAGCAGAACATGGCAAATCCTCCCCCACTTCTGATGGGATGAGAAGTATTTGCTCAGCTGCTCCCATCAAACCAACCCTTCCCACAGTCTGCTGCTACCCAACAGCTTGCCATAACCCCAGCCCTCTCCTCTCAGACCCCAAGAGGAAAGCCACCCTACAGAGGAGTTTGTTGTCTGTAAAGGCAGCAAGCCTCACCACATGGCTTTCTGGCCAGCACATATCCACCTAGAAATTTTTTCTGCTCCCCTTGCGGCAGAACCTAGTAAGAATTTCTGCGGTTTGGGTTTTACCCACTGGTATACAGAACTGTAATTAGCCATTTTTCAGCGTAGGCTGCAGGCTTTTCTTTCATAGAACAACTCGAAGAAACAGCATGGTTTAAGGCTCTCACAAAAGTAAGCCACAGATAATGTGTATGACAAGTTTGAATTTTCTGGAGGTGGAATTGTAAATTTCTCATATCAACAGGAACA